TCTCTCTCTCTCTCTCTCTCATTAGCTTTGTATGGTGGTGCACAATCATTGTTATAAATTGTAGCTTACATGTTATATATCGGTACCCGGTACTGCGTCAGTGGGACATAGATCTACATGGGTACATAGTAGCCTACATGGTACATGTAAATTATGCTTTAAAAAAACAACAACAGTAGAACATTCATGTTTGCACTTTTTGTACATGTAAAGTATTTTTACACTTTTTTTTCTTAATTTAATATTTTACTGATGTTGGTCCCTGGAAATCGCACTAAATCGAATGTAATTTGTTTAGATAAAGACTAGATCTGTCTGTTATAGTTTCGTCGCGAAACATGCTGATATCAGCACGTCTCGAGTCTCGACCATAGATGTACACTATAGACACGGAGGTAACTCTATGGTCTCGACTCGTCGGTATCAGATCGGGGAAACCCGAGGTATTTTGGCGCCAAACTGAATCAATTTTATTTGTTTTTCATGGATTTCCTTTTTTTATCCAACAAACCTTGGTGAAGAAATTTGTGAATCCAGACAGGTGAGTCAGTTGCTATCTAGTAACTAGATCTAGATCTAGATCTCTATCTAGTTGGTATTTTGTGTGTGTGCGCGGTCTTTTTTAATATTTTTTTTTAAGCTTGGGTTTTTCATTAGCGTGTGAGGTTGGAGCAATGATTATAAATAGGGGCCTACCACATTTACGTCCCTGCGTTGGAGGGCACCACTGGTGGGTCCTACTTCTTTTTACGTTCCCTCTGTTGTTTCAGTCTTACTTTTTCCCAGCACTAATTGACGATCGTTGTGTCGATTACTCATTAACTTTTCTTTACCCAAATAAACGCATAAACACGCTTGATTTAGCATCATTGCAACTGTACTGTAACAGTCTGCTCGATTGAAGTGCTGAGACCGAGGAAATAACGTAGTTTCTAGATTGACATGAAAAATATGATTCATCTACATAGTTGTCTCAATTGGGAATGGCACCTTTTCATGTAGGACAACTGTACAACAACAATTAAGAAGAATGACTTTTATTTGTTTGATTTGAAGCTGTAGCTGTTCAGATCGAGATCCCATGGTACTCTCAAAACATGGGTTTGTGTCTGTAGAAGAGAAGAATTATTATGGATTGATATATGATATATGTGTATGCCTTTGCTTCAAAGCCTAGTGTACATTAATTCGTGTATGTGTGTGTGTGTGTGTGTGTGTGTGTGTGTGT